TCCAGCGTGATGTGATCTTTCTTCATGCTCCTGCAAATCTCGATGGACTCGCCATGGGTCAAAGCCTCCCCCTGCAAATCAATCAATTTTCGAGCCTCAAACTCTTGAGATGCTTGGTCCTTCGAAGTGCTCAAGATCTTGCGCACCTCTTCTTTGAAGGAGTCTACTTCCGTCTGGTCCAAGGTGCAAGATGTGTTGCCATGAGCCAGGCGCTTGTGATTCTCCTGCATGAAACTCTCAATGCTTCTGGATTGGTGGGATCCTGTTTCCAACCAACTCCCGTGGCACTTTGCCCCTGTGAACTGAGCAGCTAAGGCTCTTGTCTTTGATCCGGACATCGCTTGATGGGTCACTGTGCCATCAGTCAAGTCCACTAACACAAAGGCGCCGGAATTGCCTTCACCAGCTGCACCGAACATCCATGGAGGTTCTTGGCCCCTGCAAAAAGTGTCAACGTAGTCTGCAGCAGAGAAGACCGTCGTCACGTAGTATCCATCATAGACCATGCTTGTGTGGCCTGTCTCCACTTGTTCGTGGCCACGAAAAATGCCTTTCAGGCCATTGGACTGAAGGAAGGCTTTTGCCTCGTCCATACCAAACTCGTAAATGTATTCACCTCTGTGAGACGGGATCCAGCCATTGCCCTTGTGAGGATCAGCCCAAGCTGACATGTCGGCAATGTAGCGGTCAAGGCATTTGCCAAACCGACCAGCTTTTCCCGTGCACGCCTTCACGAACGCGGGGGTGATGCCACCATGCATGGCCATGAAATTGCCAGGCACCACGGCAACATATGGCAAGAGACTAACAAGAGTGCTTACTTCCTGTCTGATGAACAAATGGCCGTACGGGAACTTGTGCTGCAGCTCCCCTCCAAACCCGTAGTCGTCCCACACATCCGGATCCTCATGGTTTCCTCTCAAGAGAATGAGGCCCTTAGGGCATCGTGCCTGAAAAACACAGGGATGAATGGTCATGGACACGGCTCACACCTGGTCGTGTCTCACGTCTGGTCGTGTCTCGGTTTGCTGGTCCGCGCGATGGCAGAGGACTGGTCCGCCATCGTGGAGACGCGGTCACGTTGGCCGTGGAGAACTGTGTTTGGTGGCTCAACTTGGTTCAACTGTGTCTGGTCCTGGTCCAACTTGGTCTTGCGGACAGGTAGGTAGGCCAGGTAGGCATATGGAGGCAGAAACGGTGAGAAAACAGACCTGGTCACCTGGTGATCCTTTTCAGTGGGAGGTTCATGTGCCTCTTGTCACCTTTCAGCGGTTTTTGTCACCTTTCACCACCTCCAGGTCCCGTGTGCCATTCCCGGCGTTCGACGCTCAAGCAGTTGTTCAGGTCGGGACTTGGGGAAGGGATGGTTTTGGTCTTTTGGTCTTGGGGTTGGAAGGGACTTGTGTCCAAAGCCGAGACTGAGAGACTGGACGGAGAGACTGGGGGACCAGTGTGCTTCACAATGTAGAAAGGTCTTTGTTGCACACTGAGGATTGTCATGTCGTTGCAAACCATGTCTCAATTCAGCCAAAGAAACACAAAAAAAGAACACTGCATAGTCACTGTCTGCTTATTGGCAAACAAAGCATCAAAAGATGCGCATCATTGCCCCTTGATTTATTCTACGTGGCAAGTGGCAAGGTGCATATTATATTTAGATTAATGGCCTCCAATCTAATAGCGATGGCCTCGAACCTGATAGCGAATTGTATACAGAGAATTATATAGAAAACTAGGTTTGGATACGGAAGACTTTGAAACCCGTGCCTTATAGGCTAACAGAAGCAGCAGCAGTTCAATTCCTCTTTCACCCCGATCCAGGTAGTCGCCCAGGAAGATGTACTGCATGCGCGGATCACAGAAAAGCAACGAGGATCCATCAAGCGGAATGAACCCCTTGTCCTTGTAAGTCTCCTTGATACGGATCAAGTGAGCAATGAGATTGAAGAGCTGTCCATGAAGATCTCCAATGATCGCGACATGTTTGACCTCCGTTGAGATCTCTCGGCTGGTGCGATGCCCCTCAGCAGCTTGAAACTCTGGCCCAAGGACGTCTTCCTTCACTTTTCTTAGGAAGAATATGACTTTGACTGCCTTCATCAGCGGCAGCTGCCCATACTGGCCATCACTAATGCTCAAGGCATCCTTCTCGAGTTGCTCAACAAAGTCCATGGCCTGCGGTTCACAAAACGCTTGCCCCCCACTTGGCCGCAACACATCGACGGAGCCGGAGCCGGAGCTGGCTGCCTTGCACTTCTCCACACAAAAGTCACGGATCCCAATCGTCACCGGACCCTTCAACTCACAATCCTGGAATTTGCTTTGGCCACTTCGGCCGCACTTGCTCACGCAGCAGGTGTCTTCACACAAGTCGTGGCCCATCAACTGGCAAGTCTTCACGCGGCGACCGCTCTGGCGCCGCACCTGGACGGTCTGGGACTTCTCATTTGAGTCTAAGACAGTGCATGTTTCCACGCACATGGCCTCACCATTCAGTCTTTCGATGGGCTGATTCTCCTTTGACTGGTTTAGCTGGCAATCCTTGAATGCAAATGTTCCTCCATCCCCTGACAGTTCAAAGGTTTGGTCATTGCATTTGGCTAGGCGACACAAGTCATAATGTCCGCCCTTCTGCAATTCACACTCCTGAAGTCCGTGGCCGCTCTTACGCCAGACCTTCACGGTCATGGACTCGTTGTTGGTCAGAGAGACTGTGCATGTCTCCTCGCACATGCGATGATGATCAGATCCTTCAAAGGGCTGATTCTTCTTCACCTGGCAATCCTTGATGGCAAGCGTTCCTCCCAAATCTCCTGGGAATTCAAATGTTTGGTCATTGCACTTGGCACTGCGGCATTTGGTGAAGAGACCGAGACCGATTCTCCCCTCGCGTCGCTCCAAGTCGTGACGATTCTCCCGCATCGCGTACACAGTTGACAACAAGCAGGGCAACAGGAACAGCACCATTGCCATCATTGCGGCCGTGGAAATATCCAAGCTTGGATGTTGCAAAGAACGACAATTGGAGGATATACATAACTGTTGTCACTTGAGCAAAAACGAGGAGCCAGCTAAGTATTGGAGTTGGACAGAGGTTCTCCCAATATCGGAACGATCTGTGCATCAATGCTGGTCACAACGTGTTCAGACCCTCCCGCTCCACCTCTGCTTCAGTGCGTCGAAAACAGCCTAGCCAAGGACTGAGCGGGACCGAGGAAGAACTATGTGACCATCACTAACCATCTCCAATGTCCGAGAAACACGAACAAAGCTGGTCTGTCTTTTCTCTGTTTTGCTCTTCGATGGTGTTCCTGTCTTAGTCTTTTCTTCTTTTGACCTTTCTTTCTTGCGGCCTGTTATGATTGTCGTGTTGTTTTCTTCATTGTGGCCTCATCAAATCTCCAAGATGCTCGATTTTAGAGGTGAAAATCAGCCAACATGAAAACGACCTGCCTCGATAGGTCTCGAACTGCTTAGCACAGAAATCGGCGGAGCCCCACTCGGAGTCTCAGCGAAGGGAGCTCGTGTATCTACAACTAAAAATCCCATCACACGCTAATTAAGTTCCCATAAGCCCAAAACCAGGCATGTCCTTTGAGTAATTTCGAGCCTTGCGGCAGGTGAACAAACCGAACCTCTCTTCTGCCCTGTGTGTTTCATGTGTTTTTCACAGCTCGTTCTGCATCGACCGAGCTCCCGTTCGCAAACCCCCGGGAGCCTCCCGACCCGGACCGGTCCATCGGGGCTCCTGGGCACTTGGGTGTGAGCTGAAACTGCACGACTCCATGTTTGACGTGGACATTCCCAGGTACTTTGAATCGGAACTTGGGATGAAGAGGTGTCATTTCGGGGATGAAGAACTGCCACCACAGTGATTGGCATTGAAAAGGAAGAAGAACCAGCCCTGCAAGGTACTAGTTGTGAAACAGAAGGAAAGCATGAGGAAACCTATCTGATCTTGAATACCGAATTCGATTCTTCAAGAAATTCCTTATGCAATTGGGTGATTGGTGATGCAGTGAAGTGCAATGCCTCTGCCATACCTTTTTCTAGAAATCTCTAGCGAGATTTGTGATTTGCTGGAAATCGCTTCTCTTCGACTCTTCAGCACTGTTTTGTACAGATCGCGTGCGATCGCGATCTGCGAAACCCTATGATAGGTTCTGCAATGAAAGCCAAACAGCTATGAGCAGCACAGCACGTAGGAGAAATTCCGGTACCAACACAGCCTTTTTGCGCACCACAACTACTTTCACATGCCCGCCTCGTGCACACCACGATTGTTTCCGCAACTCAGAACGTAATTCCCCTCAACAAGTATGTCTCACATTGTCTCATGATGCTCACATATCTATATGAGCGACGCTGTTTATTTGTTATGTGGGCCTTGCACATTTCAATTTGGTGAGTGTATTATCGTTTTCCACGTTTTGAACCTTACTTATGCTAAAGGTTGTTTTCACAACACAGCAGACTTTTTAGACATGGAAGCAAACGTGCGACGGTCAAGTGTAGTAAGGTCATGGGTATCGCCTTCTATGGTGGCATCGCTACACACAGCGCCAGCATTGTTTTTGACTTGTCGCCGTTTGGTGGGGGCAGTAGTAGCAGTAGCAGTAGGTAGTGGTAGCAGCAGCAGCAGCAGCAGTAGTAGTAGTAGTGGTGGTAGTGGTAGTGGTAGTGGTAGTAGTAGAAGTAGTAGTAGTAGTAGAAGTAGTAGTAGTAGTAGTGGTAGTGGTAGTAGTCGTAGTGGTGGTGGTAGTAGTAGTCGTAGTGGTAGCAGTAGTAGTAGTAGTAGTGGTAGTAGTGGTAGTAGTGGTAGTAGTGGTAGTAGTGGTAGTGGTAGTCGTAGTAGTCGTAGTAGTCGTAGTAGTAGCAGCAGTAGTAGTAGTACTAGTAGTACTAGTAGCACTAGTACTAGTAGCATTAGTAATTGTAGCACTAGTAGTACTAGTGGCAGTAGTAGTGGTAGTAGTCGTAGTAGCAGTAGTAGTGGTACTAGTAGTACTAGTAGTAGCAGCAGTAGTGGTAGTGGCAGTAGGAGCAGTAGCAGTGGCAGTGGCAATCGCAGTGGCGGCAGCAGCAGCAGCAGCAGCAGGAGGAGGAGCAGTACTAGCAGTAGTAGTCGTCGTTGTTGTGTTTGTGGTTGTGGTAGTGGTGGTGATAGTGGTAGTGGTAGTGGTAGTGGTAGTGGTAGTGGTAGTAGTAGTAGTAGTAGTAGTAGTAGAAGCTGCAGCAGCAGGAGTAGTAGTAGTAGTGGTAGTAGACCAGCCATGTCTTGCGCTTGTTTGGAGGATATTTTTCAGATACAAGTGGGGCACTGGTTTCGTAGCACAGGTTCGTCTACATTTACGTTATCGTTTGGTTATCGTTTAGGTTATCGTTTGACCACAGCTACATTTCGGACAAACCTGTCGCCAAAGTCCGAAGTCAAATACGGCTTTGGGAAAGGCTACACTAAGCAGAAACGAGGTTCCCTGATGGTCTTCACGGTTAAAAAGCTGTACTGCAGCTATGCAAACTAAGCTTTCCGAAAAAAACAGGATGCTATCAATATGTTATCGTTTTTTGATGAGTGTATTATCGTTTTCCAAGTAAAATGCAAATTCTCAATCCCAATGTCGGGTCCTTTACCAAATACCTTTGCGTAAATAAATCAGGTTGCTCATATATTTTTGTTATTGTTATTACCAATATTAATTATACCATTACTATATTGTCATGCTGTTACAGGGTGTTTGTTCTGAAACAGTTGCAAAACCGTCAAGACTTGGTTGCACGCAAGTGCTCCAGTTCAGTACACTTAATGACATCGCATTACAATCTGGCAGCGTGTCATCTAGCCATCAATGACAACTCCAGACGTCATTTAGAGGTACGCTTATAAAATCATAAATTTGCAAATGGAGATAGGTCAGAACCTACTAGACTGACGACACGCTTTTGATCTTTTCTGACAAATTCTGACAAGTCACATGGTTGTCTACCTGCGCTATACAAGCTGATTTAGTGTTTGCTAAACAGCAGTCATATCGGTCTTTATCATCTAAGCGGAAGCACCCGTATCCGATGCATCCGATGCATCATGCCATCTGCATCGGAGAAAAACACACAGCTCGGTCCTTGCACACCCGGCAGGGGGGAGATCCGGAGACCCAACCTCCACACGCAACACAGCCGTTGAGGAAGGATCATTACTCGTTGCATGTCTCTACCTGGTTTCCGTAAAACATTATACCTGAGAAGGGGGGGAACGAAAGCTAGCAGCCGCCAGACGAGAGGGTCAAAAGAAGAAACCATCTAAGTAACACATGCTTACTAGGACGATGGCAGGCACTGTATGCTTCAACATGAGTGCCACCAACCGTCATCCAAAAATATTCCACAGATCACAGATCCGTGACTATAACCCATCCTCAAACAGCAATCTCTTCACCCCACCAAGTTGCTATCTACACGGGCCCCTTTTCTGATAGGCACTCGTCGCTGCCAACCAACTACCATACTGGCCCCAATACATCCAACCAGACTTCTCAAGTATAGTAGAGACTGGGACAATCAATGCCCATTGTCCAAATAGCCTCCACAGCCCTTCGTGATGCTAATGATGCACTACTCGGCGTCCATTGCATCACTCGCATCGCCAGACCCCATTTTCACTCCTTTTCTGACCCTCGCTTTGGAGCGCTCCCCAGGCAAGCTCCAGGCTCACCCTCTCAAATGGTGCCTTTTCGCCTCCTACCCCCCCCCCACACCCCCTTAACTCACTTCGTTCGGTCTAAAAGCTCAAGCCTAGCCTATCGGCTGGCTTTCGTAAAGGATGTCCTTTGGCCCCTGGAAGTACTTTCACCTCCAAGACCATCTTCAGCAGGTACCTGGACCCTATGGGATATTGGACAGCTAGCCCATAAAAACCGCAAAACAATACGTGTATGCAATCCCATCTGGAAGCAATAGTCACAATATGCATCAATATGCAATCTAGTCACAATTCCTGCATCTGGAAGTGTTCAGGGCCATGGTCCCAAAAAATTGCCGTGTAATTCGTCATGGTTCGCATTCAGCGTGGCCATGCGCGGCATGACATAAAGCGTTGGTGGTGAAACCGCCCACATTGTACCTCACGACACCGACTGTATTACGAGTACAATATATTATACCAAAAAAGATCACTATTCACCTACATACCGACTCCAAACACAACCGTGCAAAGCCATCTGGCGCACATCGCCGTGCCATGTGCCAAGCACAGCCCGTAGAGAGCCCATTGAAAACGAGGTTTGCACCATCTCGCTGAAACAGCTAGTCTTAGAGGGAAGGACATGTTCATAACAGCATCCAGAGCAAACGCATGCAAGAGCAATTCTGCCGTTTCAGCGCCTGTTTCCAATGGTTCATCTAGGAGCGTCCATTCCGGGCTGATGCACCTGTGTAGCAGTGGGGAGCCGGACACACCGTCCCACGACCAAAGAATGGACCCCGCTCGTCCACTTGAGTTCTTGTGGAGTGACCCAAAAACCTTTCATCACAAAGGACGCATAAACAAGATCTGAATGTTCAATACTTATCTAAAAGGCTTCTTGTTACTAGCTGCCTCCACCCTGGTAGCGATGGCCTCCAACCTAGTAGCTTCTTGTTTCTATAGTAGCGATCAAAAACATTGCACCTGTGGTGAATGAAGTCCGACGATCGCACTCCCCAACGCAGCGCGCCAACCACTCGTCTCGGTGCCTGGTGGGTGTTGTGCGTGTTGACGCCCCTGACGTTTGGTGCTCTAAGCAAGCTACTTAAGAGACCTAGAGAGTGATGAATATGCCTAGCCGTAGCCTGGGATGGAAATTGATGGGTCAAAATCAACTGGTCATGCTGGGACCCTTCCTCTCAGGAGTGTAAGCATACACAATTACAAGCTAATTCGGATTAATTCGGCATTCACCCTGCTTGCTGCCGCACACTGAATATGCAATCTTGGTGTTCTTATCTAGCGGGCACCCTGTCAAACAAGACACGGAACGCAAACCAGCCGACCTTGAAGCCGCCCGCGTTCGGGCAGCCCCGACGGTTCCTGGAACCTTGCAAAAAGCTCTCAATCGCAAATGACATGAAAGACTCTTGCAATCAAAGTGTAAGGGAGAGCTGCATGAGACAGATCTGATGTCATGCCGGGTCTTGGAAAAATACGGTTCCACTCATGTGGATGTCAGATGATGTCAGCATCTGTGGAAGCACGACTTGTTTGTCTTGCCTACGCCACCATGGTCGGTCGCGCCTAGATCCATGGTCGCACGGCTACATCGCGCTAAGCCGCTAAGTGTCAACATCGCTCTCCTCCAGCTCAATCTCCCGGACCTTGATGTCATTCTCCAGAATCTCTTCGTCAGTGCCACGAAGCTCATTGTACACTTCCAGCGTGATGTGATCTTTCTTCATGCTCCTGCAAATCTCGATGGA